TATTTTAGGTCTTAGAGAGGTAGCAACAATGGTCCCATAGCAGCTTAGAGTGTGATACTATTTCTATATTTTTGTTAGTGTCAAGGGTGCTCCAGAACCATTGTTGATTTTGAACCTATTGTAGGAAATGTGTTGATGGTTGAATTTGAAAATACCATGAGGTGTCTAACCAACTAACTTAACAAGTTCCAAAAGTGATTCTCTGTGGGCAGCTCTCTGGCCAGTGTTCTCCAAGAGGTCAGACTAGACGATGGTTCCTTCCATCATTAATGGTTACTTCTGGTCTTAGAAATGATAATAATTTCGACCCATTCAATCAAAGTTCTATGATAATGGCCAATGGATAAGGGCAGAGGGACAGAGAGACATATGGCAATACATTAATATTAACCAGGTGTTGCTACATTTTCATTCTATTTTTAGGTCTCTTGCCTTAATTCTCCTTGACTTAATGTGTCGAGATGTTCAACAATGAAACAAAAAACGGAGCTTCTGTCCCTGGTGGGATCTGAGCACCTCTATGAGATGCACATCCGGCTCTTCCTGATGTTTCTCATCACCTATTTCTCCATAGTTCAAAAGTTTCAGAGGGGTAGCTGAGTTAGTCTGTAACAGGAAAAAGATCCATAGTTGTTAGTCATCATCTTCCCACCCCCGCCATGCTGGGAAAATTCCTCTGCTTTCAGAAGTGTGAAACATTTGACATCACACTCTAGAGTAAGGGTGGGCAATAAAACGGTGGAGGTTCACCAGAATTACCCTCCCCCAGTGGGCTGTTGTGGTGATATTTACCTGTACCTCAACAGAGATGGGTGATCTCAACTCCCATTGGTTGGGAACAGCAATTCATGGCCAATGGGAGCTGCAAACCCTGTACCTGGGAAGGTGCAGGTAAATTTGGCAGTGAAGGGGCTAACCCTGGCAGACTGCATCCATCCTGCAGGCCGATATTTGCCCATCGCTGCCCTAGAAGTCGGTGTGTTGCATGAGTGGGCATAACACAATTTTCTGGTAGTGCTCGGACCACATAATCATTTTTCTTGGTGAGGTTGCAACCACCAAGCATTTCCTGTAGGGAACCCACCACATGGTGCACTTCTTCTGGACTCTACAGTTGAAAGAGACCTGAGAAGGTCGTCAAGGCATGTTCTCTTTTCCTGCTAAACATGAACCTCTAAAACCTCTCTTAGGGTATGTCTGCACTAGCCCCCTAGATCGATCTACACACTCAGAAATTCAAAGCTCCCACCCAGGCAGGGAACTCAGCTGATGGGCGGGTGGAGGGGCATCTCACTGAAGAAGCCACTAAAAGGAGCTGCTGTCTGCTTGCACTCAGGAGCTCCCAGAGCCGGTAAAAAGGGAGATAAGGAGACAATTAGGGTGTGTCTAGACTACTGAGTTTTGTCGACAAAAGTCCACTTTTGTCGACAAAACTATACCTGCGTCTACACTACCGCTGAGTTCTGTCGACATAACGTCGACAAAACTCAGAAGTTTTGTCGACGCTGGTATACCTCATTTTACGAGGCATAACACCTTCTGTCACCAGAGTTCTGTCAACAGAAGGTGTTATTGCCTGTAGGTTTGCATCTAGAGTACAGGGTTTTGTCGACAAAGCAGCATGCTTTGTCGACAGAACTGAATGTGTCTAGACGCTCGATGTCGACAGAAGTTTTGTCGACAGTATCTGTCGACAAAACTTCCGTCGACAAAACCCTGTAGTCTAGACGTTCCCTGGGTGTCTGGGAGATGGGGAGGGAGGGAGGGAGTAATTAATTAATTGGCGGCAGAGTGGAGGAGAGTTTAGAGCATCCGTTTGCAGGAGGAGAGAGAGAGGCAGAAACTCTGCACTCTCCAGCCTCCTTGGAAGGGGGAGATAAATGGCTGAGTGCATGGGGTAGGTTGGGGAAAGAGAGGGTGGGCGGGTGTTGGCATGTTTGCAATGAGGTGGAAGCGGGGGGTAGTTTGTTTGAGGTGTCTGACTCGCTGCAGTCCTCTCTGTCTGACTGGGTTGAGGAGGGGAGCAGGCTGCAAGGGTAGTGTGTGTCCCAGGCATGATGGCTTTTCAAACTAAGTTTACTAAAATCACTTAGGAAAGTTAGATGTCAGCAAGTCACCAGGTCCTGATGAAATGCATCCCAGGATACTCAAGGAGCTGATAGAGGAGGTATCTGAGCCTTTAGCTATGATCTTTGAAAAATCATGGCAGACAGGGGAGATTCCAGAAGACTGGAAAAGGGCAAATATTGTGCCCATCTATAAAAAGGGGAATAAGAACAACCCAGGAAACTACAGACCGGTCAGTTTAACGTCTGTCCCAGGGAAGATAATGGAGCAGGTAATTAAGGAAATCATATGCAAACACTTGGAAGGTAATAAAGTGATAGGGAATAGCCAGCATGGGTTTATGAAGAACAAGTCATGCCAAACTAATCTGATACCTTTCTTTGATAAGATAACGAGCCTTGTGGATAAGGGAGAAGCGGTGGATGTCATATACCTAGACTTTAGTAAGGCATTTGATACGGTCTCGCATGATATTCTTATTGATAAACTAGGCAAATATAACTTAGATAGGGCCACAATAAGATGGGTGCATAATTGGCTGGATAACCGTAGTCAGAGAGTTGTTGTTAACGGTTCTAAATCCTGCTGGAAAGGGATAACAAGTGGAGTTCCTCAAGGGTCTGTTTTGGGACCCGTACTATTCAATATCTTCATCAATGATGTAGATATTGGGATAGAGAGTACGCTTATTAAGTTTGCAGATGATACCAAACTGGGTGGGGTTGCAACTTCTTTGGAGGATAGGGACATAATTCAAAATGACCTTAGCAAGTTAGAGAAATGGTCAGAGGTAAACAGGATGAGGTTTAATAAAGAGAAATGCAAAGTGCTCCACTTAGGAAGGAACAATCAGTTCCATACATACAAGATGGGAAGCGACTGTCTAGGAAGGAGCATGGCGGAAAGGGATCTAGGGGTCATAGTGGACCACAAGTTGAATATGAGTCAACAGTGTGATGCTGTTGCAAAAAAAGCAAATATGATTCTAGGTTGTATCAACAGGTGTGTTGTAAGCAAAACTCGTGAAGTCATTCTGCCGCTCTACTCTGCACTAGTTAGGCCTCAGCTGGAGTACTGTGTCCAGTTCTGGGCGCCACATTTCAAGAAAGATGTGGAGAAATTGGAAAGGGTACAGAGAAGAGCAACAAGAATGATTAAAGGTTTAGAGAACATGACCTATGAAGCCAGGCTTCATGAACTGGGCTTGTTTAGTTTGGAAAAAAGAAGATTAAGGGGGGACATGATAGCGGTTTTCAAATATCTAAAAGGGTGTCACAAGGAGGAAGGAGAAAATTTGTTCCTCTTGGTTTCTGAGGACAGGACAAGGAGTAATGGGCTTAAAGTGCAGCAGGGGAGGTTTAGATTGGACATTAGGAAAAAATTCCTAACTGTCAGGGTGGTCAAATATTGGAATAAATTGCCAAGGGAGGTGGTGGAATCTCCCTCTCTGGAGATATTTAAGAACAGGTTAGATAGACATCTGTCAGGGATGGTGTAGACAGAGCTTGATCCTGCCTTGAGGGCGGGGGGCTGGACTCGATGACCTCTCGAGGTCCCTTCCAGTCCTATTATTCTATGATTCTATGAAAAGCATGAGTGGCGTGGATTAAAGGCTTAAGATAAGAAAGTCAAAGATTCTTTTAACAGAATTTTTTTGAGCTTTGCAGAGATCTAAAATTCTGGATATAATTATTTTGTTAAACATCTGTGTTACTAATTAATACATGGTAAATTGTATGGCATTAAAGCCAGATCTTTCCAATGTGGTAGAGTTCTGGTTCTTATGAGTCAGAGGTAGCAAGTACAGGTAGTCCCCGACTTACGAGTGGGTTACATTCTGAACACCTGGTCATTACTCGATTTGGTCACAAGTCAGAAATACCCTTAACCGCACTTCCTGCGTTGTTCGAAAACCTTGATGTACATGGATCTCAAAGCGAAAATATTATAATGGGGTTAATGGGAGGTAGGTCATGAGTACGGAGGGTCATAAGTTGCTGTGTTTGTAAGTTGAGGAGTGGCTGTACTAGCTTGGGTGTTAGAAAAATTGATACAGGTACTCTCAAAGGGTTGCATTAATATTCTCTTTTGTCTGATTTCATATTAAATTATGTATTTACTTCTCCTTGTTAAATATCCCTTATTTTAATATATTTTCTTCCACACATATGAACTGGTTGTGTGTTTTCTTTGCACTGGCAGTGAACAACCACACATTACTACAATCTTGGTGGTGCACAAAAGAAATGTCAGTCCCCCCAAAAGAAAATTTAAACTGCCCAAGGATAGAAAATGTTAGAGGGAAGACTTGTCTGCCACCACTTTCTCCCTGTTGGGAGATAAGAACCACTACGACATGTATATCCTGTTGTTTCTGGTGAATCATCTGCCTTTCTACAGTTGTTATTCAGCATCTTCCCATCCAGTGGTGCTGGCAAACTTTGAGATGTGTGAAGCATCCTCCATCGTGCCCCAGAGGTCGGTGTGTTGCACGAGC